GGGACTCTATCTCCGAAAGCACTCGGTCGCACAGTCAACATTGTACTGCGCCGCGCTCCGCACCTGGTACACCTGGACCATCCGACGGGGACTTGACCCAACGCTCCTCAAGTACACATTAGATACTCAGATCCAAGTGGTCACCGACTTCGTTCTTCATGGTGCCCAGTACGGTTACGGCTCGGGGTGACCAGTACGCGGTACGACAATTGTGGCTACGATCCACGGGATCTCGCACTTCTTTCAGGAGGCTACGCTTGAGTTTCCCAGCAACCATCCACAAATTCGCATGGTCCTGAAGGTCTCGATGCACCCGTACGCCACAAGGTCCCGGTTCCGCTCCGACTTCTGGAACACTGCTTCAATATGCTCGACTTGTCGCTACACTCAGGTCAAGCTCTATGGGGGGTTGTGTCTCTCCTCCTTCTTCTTACTTCGACGCTCGGAAATCGTATCCGTTGGAAAGAAATTTGCCTGGTTCGCGCTGAAGGCTTCAGATGTAACCCTGCTCAACTCCACCGGCATAGCAACAGCTCAAGCGCAGTAAGCGACATCAGTGCACATCCGACTGAGAGGGTCAAAGACGAACCAAAGAGGAACTCCGATGCTTCGCATGCTAAACCGCTCCGGACATCGATTCTTGTGCCCTGTGTTCGGAGCTTTATGTCTTCTAAAGGCGCACCAGACTATTTGTAGTGGGCCTAGTGCTCACTACCTAGCTTACACGTATGCGCACGTGTAGGAGGAAGCGTAGGTTTATCCTAGATAGTATAGTGTATACACGATAGGTGTATACAGTAGACTAGATAGGAACTAGATAGCGTAAGTTGAAAACTGTTATTATTGTTATGCGTTTCTTTCCTAAAGTGTTCCCAAACTGTTTATCAAATATCTAAGGGACTGTCAGCGAGTGGCTGATAGTGATCCGCATCGCTGATTGGTTGAGGTGTGGCGCACTCTACCAATAGGATCTTTCTCTATGCAATCTTGGTGTGTCCACACACCAAGACAGGAAAGCATCGAGATGGACTCCCAACACTCCGACGGAGTCGGCAGTGGTTGTAGGGGAGCCTGCGAGTGAGGCGCAGGCTTCACACGCTGGCAAACATCACAAGTACGAACGTACTTGCGCACCCACTTGTACTGGTGGTTCCAGTAGAAGTCTCGGGTGAGAAGAGTGTATGTCTTCTCACGTCCTGGGTGTCCCGCCGTGGGGACATCGTGATATTCGTATATGATCCTGCCGCGCAGGTCAGGATCATTCGGCACGACAATGCGTTCCGCATTGCCGTTTACAGCGCTGTAAAGCAGTAGACCGTCGTGCACACGGTACCGGTGTGCACTCGCTTGCAGACGAGGGGCCAACTTCCGACGTGTTTTGTCGGGAGGAGCTGAGAGGAACTCGATCAGCTGCTTCGCGTCTGCGTCATGCGCATACGCGGCCTTCACCTCGTCTAGCAAGGACGACGACGGTGTGTAATTCCGAACGACATCAACCCGGTTGATGTCGACTGTCTTGACAGCGTAGTCCGGTCGTCGCGAC